TGTCATGAAGTCTCAAGTTGACATTGTCTTCACGTCAATATACATGACTCCGCCTGTCAAGGACGTGCAAAGTGAATCAGGACGTACCTAATGATCAACGCGTGCATGAAGATGAACTTCAAGGCAGTAGTGTTGGTTTGTTTGTTGTTTAACGACACACTCAGCAATATTCCAGCTATATGACAGCAGTCTGGACCAGACAATCCAGTTATTTCTATCGCGAGCATCGATCTATGCAACCAGGATCGTCACAGGTATCTCGGGTACTGAGGTACTCTGGTGGCGTTCAGCTACCAATAACTGTGGTGTTTTCATTATAGTCTTGTAATCCGTTGATAGCCAACTTTAAGTTTAAGTCAAGCTATTCTTTTGGTCAAGTACCTTACAGTTTCTTAATGACTACAATTATAGATACACCAAAGGCTCAGAACTAAATGGGAGTTTAGAACTTCTTTGCCCAGTCAAACTGAGTATCTAGTGTATAGGACTAGATAGCTGTTCGTACTCAGATGTTTCTAAAAGTTATTGTTACACACAAACACCAAACAGAATCAGTGTTACTTCCGACAATGAAATGTTATTTCATGGAAAGACAAATGTTCCAAGATATGGTACCTAATAACATTTCATAAGAACAGCACGATGAACAAGTTTTTCTGACTTCTACACTTTTCAGGACGCCATTGAGTCGAAATAAATATTTTTGTGCATATATACAGTGTGTATTTCCCACCATTTAACCTAGCTGTGGTCATTCAATCATTAGAGAAACTAACAGTTGTGAGTAAATTGGTCTCAGCTGTATATGGATCTTGTCAATATCTTGTCAAAGTGTTTACTTACATACTCTCTTTTCATTACTGTCTAAGTCTGTTTTACAGCTGCATAGCTAATCTGCCTGTATATAACTATGTTCCATATCTTCTAGCATATATTGGCCTGGAATGTATTTTGTAAGAAGGCAGGGTCTGTGGGGAGCCTTATGATACCAAATACATGAGGCTCTAACGCACCCAGCAGTTAAAGGACGCGAGAAAAAAACATTTCCAGCAGGAATACTAGCATCAATGGTTGTGAACTTGACCTTCGACCTTTCTTAAAAGGGTTCGGTCGCGCAGTGCTCGGATCATCATAAGCATTAAAAGACTATAAATAATGTAGATATATCCCTTTATATATGTTCTTATGTGTGTGTACATGTATATGTATATGTATATATACTGAACATCATTGAAAACGCACCACTTATAAAAGTTCAGATTATCAAAACCACGTGTAAGGAATTGATATTTTTTGAGTGGATAAAATAACAGATGGACGACAGAAAAACAACAACACAGAAAAGACGCTCATTGATTGAAATGTTCCACAGTCAGAAAGGATAAAACACACGTGGGGTCAAATCGAAAATTAAAGATCGCGTTTGACCGCCATATGCATTGAAACATGCAGTTCAACGTCTCCTCATTGAGAATTTGTTTCTAAAGCATTTTTTCAAGTGAACATGCCCTTCGACTTCATGTTAGTTATATAAAATATGAACGCTAACGCTCATATATAAAATAGCATGGTTACCATGGAAACGCCCCAATATCTCGAGTTGTCTGACACTTTCTAGTCTTGAAACATTGGTTTTGAAAAATGAAAGATTCCGATCTTCGAGCAGTATCAAATATATCTGGCTAAGCCTCGGGTGGACGTGTTTCAATTTTAAACACCACATCCAATGTTCTATAAATGAAAATATACACCAAAGCATTCAAATCCTGAACACAAATTTCAAACCTTAATAAACAATTCATCAATAAAGTTTTAAACGTTTCCATCCCAAACGTTGAGAGTAATTACATTTTATATTTCCAGCACCTTGAACATTTACTAATTCTACACATAGAAACACAAAATAAAGCAATCATAAAGGCCTTCTCCATTAGTACACGGATTCGAAACGTATTCAAATTAACCATGAAATATTCAAAATACTCACCTAATAACCACCTTTCCGACTTCCCTTGAACATCATACTACTGAAACGGGTGTAAGTTTAGCCTTTTAATCCCACAGCTTCCAATAATCAAAAACCCAATCCAAAGCGTTCAACTTCTGTAAACCAATGAAATCCTTGGATGCAATAGCTGTAACCAGGATTGCTGTGACTGCATTATCAACACATGTATCCACCCACTGAGACCGGAGCAGGATAATAAAGCGTTAGCATTCATATTCTATTCATTCACGGACACACTAAACCTTGATAAAAGGATTGTGACAAAGTTTTCTCGAACTCATATACAGCGCGTTTTGTTGGTTTCTAGAGAATCATTGCTGTACGCCGATAGAGAGAAGTGTTTTGTTGGCATATAGATGGTTTGGGTTAGTTCAATGTACCGGGTTTTGTTGTATACTATGAAATGCATACTATGAAGCTTTTGATAGGAATACAGTGAGACTGACTGTAGTCGTAGGCGTGGGTCAGTAGGGGGCGGTTTGCAGGAGACAGAGGTGTGTGATAGAAAGTTTTCTTGTAAGCAGATAGAGGAAGGTTTGTTTCAATGTTACAAGATATATGCCTATTCCGATTCTATCGGGAAATGTAAATAATGTGTAATAGTGATTTCGTTTCAGTTTGTCCTTTTGACAATTTTGATCTTTATGAAACGGTCAATAATAATGAAAAGAATAGTTCCTTATTATATATTCCTAGGACTAACTGATATGTCGAATCCATGTAGAAATGATACGACTTCAATATTGACAGATCAGTGTAACAGCAGTATCTGTTAATAATGAATTCCAATCGATCATTCTTTCATTTATAACTAAAAACAGGAAGGGACCCTTATAAAATATTTATTACATTGGAATTATGCAACAGTTATTTGCGTGTTTGTGCCACAAGGGGCATGCTGACCACAACAACAGAAACAAGGGGCAACATTGGAAATGCCTTTAATAGTTCTAGAGATTGCAATGCTAATGAGTGAGATGTTATTAAAAGGTAGGGCAATTGTTGTGTCTAAACAGATGACAATGGTCGATAAGTTGTGATCTCCTTTGCTGACACAAATAGACTTTCCACTTAAGTATTATCTCATCCTTGGCAATCGCCCTCTGGTGCCATTATGGAGCCAGCGGTCAAATCTAGTTTCTATATTATATACTAGCCACAAAAAGATACACAAAGGGAATGGAAATATACATTGAAACTACCGTAAATACAAAAGTAAACACAGCAGTCAGTCAATTGAATTAAACACGACGTATGTGCTACGTTTCTTGACGTCAGTGGTTTCGCCATGGGCACGTGTAACACGTTTATGCATGTGCATCTGCATGTGGGGCACGTGTGACACGTTTATGCAAGTGCATCTGCATGTGGGGCACGTTGAACACGTTTATGCATGTGCATCTGCATGTGGGGCACATGTAACACGTTAATGCATGTGCATCTGCATGTGGAGCACATGGATTTAAAAAAACTTCTGTTGTTTTAGGAAACGTAATTGTTAGACTTTGATCGATCTCAAAATTAAACGATTAATAAATAGCACGTCATGCCACGATTCAAGACCTGTCACAATTCGTTGGTTTCACATTATTTTTCACTCGCTGTGAGCATGCGCAGAGCGTGTGAAAAATATCCACTGCATGTTTCCGGTTTGGCCGTATGCTTATCGATAGTGTAAATACACTCTAAATAAAAGCTGTTATAAAAACGATTTACGTTGTGACAACTGTTCATAGCTGAGTTGCATACTTCCATTTGCCTCTGCTTTTCAATACTTGATGTCCTATTTTGGTTGCAACTCCATCAGAGATGTGTTTGTTTAGTTGTGAGCAGGGGATGTGCGGGAAGGCCGGTGGTGGTGAGATGTCTATATACAAGAGCTTGTTGACATAAATGAAGCTATTTATTTAACTAATCCCGGCCTCTGTTTCATAAATCAATTGGGATCAGTTATATTCGACATAAAACTATATATTTGTTTTGATTTTTGTTTTCTTTGGAGTGTTTACACTATCGATAAACATACGACCAAACCGGAAACATGCAAGTGGATATTTTTCGCACGCTCTGCGCATGCGCACAGCGAGTTGAAAAGTAATGTGAAACCAACGAATAGCATCATGAGGCTCTTGGGAGGATATGGGGAACGAGGTGGTTGCGCTTTATGATCCACACACCAAACAGTTTTGACACCTTATCAGACCCATAATAAAGATCGCTTACATGCAGACGTCCACACGTCACAACGTCAAGACAGAAAAGCTTATTTTACAAATTTTGCTAAGTTAATTAGGATATTCACTTAATCACAACTTTTAACTCGTGAGGCCATGCATGTCAATAACACAGTGTTGGGGGAAAGGTCAGTTTATTTCTGACAACATAAAAGTACACATTAAAAATTCCTCCTTATAATATACAAGCAATAAAAGTTTAATTATCACAGAAGTTAAGAAAGCTGGAAGGGAGGGTGGTCGCGGCTCGTGCTATGCGCTGACTGGGGTTCTCAGAGGTCGTCTCGTGTGCGTATTCCTCCGCGCCCCAGGTCACAGGTCACAGCCAGTTAAAACAAAATAATTCCCGCTTGGGATATTAGTTTTACATTAACTCGTGAGGCCATGCATGTCAATAGTAACAAAGTGTTGGGGAAAGGTCAGTTTATTTCTGACAACATAAAAGTACACATTAAAATTCCTCCAAATCCCCCAACACTTTTTCACTCAAACACTTTGTGCCGCCGCTACAACCATCATGGCTTTTGCGAAATTATGATGCACCTCGCTTTTGATAGTTACACATCTCTCAAATGCATTTGATTTCCAATTACCGTGAAGTTTTATATCAAGGGCGAAACCCCTCGCCTGAAGGAGTGTCCACTGTAGTCTGCTGGTCGGTATCCGCATGCGCACAAGACACTTTTTAGAGTTTTACAAAGGTTGAGTAAGGGCGACAGTTGACTTTTTCCGCCTCACAGAATGCAAACAGATGATAGTCAAGTGATAATCCATGTTGGAGCTGACCCAGGGCAGAGTGGAGACCCCGGTAACGCAGATAACGGCACCCTCAGGACCCTCTGGCCGAACTGTATGGTCTTAGTGTGTCTGACAATCAGCTCCACATAGTTGTCGTACCATACAACATCACTTATACACAGCTGCTTAACATTATTCGTATAATCTGGCTTTTCAATTTCCTAAAGAAAGTGAAGAAGGCGGTGAGACAAGCTGCCCAGAAAGCAATGTTGAAGTGGCGACTCACATCAAGTTTTTTATATATTTGTCCTAAAATCTCTGGTGTTATCGATAGTTTTTGGACTGGTGGTTTTCCTTTAAGCCTGAGGATACCCTTCCGAACTAGTCCGAGTGTCCAGTCCGTAAGTGGGTCGTCGAGTCCCGCCTCCAGGTGAAGCAGTCTCACCATGTTAAGATATCCCGGGATACTGCTGGGGCTGAGTGACCGCGCCAAGAAGGCACGGTACCGTAGGAGTGTAGTTCCGCTCGCTGGCACCGGAATTAGGGCGAAGTACAGACAGAAGCGGAAGTAGGTCTTGGCCATAGACGTATATGTTTTCTTAGGAGAGTTGGCATACGCAGATTGCTTGTAGAGAGTCACTTCGTTGTCTAGTCGTACTAGCTCTGCGCCCACTGGTCCTGTAGAAACAGCATGGATTTAAGGACATGTGATCACAGAATATGTTAATTCCTCGTTTGTTCAACCACTGTTTATTTTCAAGCATATGTAATCGAGAGATTTTGTCACTTGTAACATTTTGTACTCCATGAATATGTCTAGCCGTCAGATAGAACCCATACGACGCAGACAACCAGAACAGTTTGCGGAGAATACGCATGATCACTACGTTTGGCGATGTACCCTTGTTGATACTAAACCTAGTGGTAGTATTGTCCATGTAGACGACTATGTGCCTACCACTCCATGCAGATGCCCACCGCTCCGCCGACTGCCGCTAGTTCTTTTACATTTATGTGTGCTTCGCTAACTTCGCTCATATCCGCACTCCACGCAGTATAGAACCAGTCGCCCTGATAAACGCCGCCGCCGCCGCCGCCTACTTCGCACGCATCAGTGGTAAATTCATCATAAGATACCGGCTCACCCCTAACTGCAAAGGTAGTACCATTAAACTACTACAGAAGTCCGCCCACCACTGAATGTCTGCTCTGGCCTCTTTGTTTAAGGTCACGTAGAGTTGTTGATTTCTAACGCTGATGCAGAGCAATTTCCGTAGACTGGTTGTTGCTTTTGTTATTGTTTTTCTCCCGTGAGTACCCAGATGATATCCCAGAATTCATGACTGGTTCGTTACCTCTGCTGCGCCACCGCCATGCGCACTTGATAGAAAACGTATAGACTGATCAACAAAGATGAAATCTTTTTTACTCGATAATCTTGATGTTGTTGTAAAATTATGTAGACTGTGATGAATAATTTGGTTTCTTATAAAAAAAATATTCACTTTGATAAAAATGCTGATTTTGATGTAAAAGTTTGATTTCATAGTAATGTTGACATCATTTTGTCATTTCTGGAGTTACTGCATCAGGACCAGGAGCTTTACCGCCCATCAGATTGTCAATAGCATCTATACGTTCATTATGCTTGATTTCACAGTTCAGAGTATTGTTTATGGTATCATTATTGCATGCACAGTAATTATGTACATCGTGATGTTCAAGAAATTGACTGGCTTCTCTTACATGGTTTTGGTCCGTATTCTTATGACGTATATTCATTACACTTTCGAAGTTATCGACCTACTGCAGTTTATATCAGTTGATTTATCCGTTGTTAGGCGGTTAACGAGGCTCCAAAACGACTTCGAGTTTTTTTTAAATAGACGATAACAGATTGATCATATTTTCCTCATGATTTTCCTTTTTGGTGCGGTATGAGCTGCCGGTATGAGTTTCGTAGACTTCGAAATACTGTCCCAAAATGCTGTACCCCAGTAGATCGAAAACAATCTAAGTTGGTATATTTCAGCTGCTAACAGGATACGACAACGTCGTCCCGCCATACGACCGATCCTGACGCAACGTCATCGAGAACACCGTCATTAAGGAGAGCGTAGGTTTAACATTTCCCGTAGTGACGGACGTCAACGTGCAAGTACTATGTATCACTCATCGCTATAAAATATCCTTCCGATGCTACTATAACTTCTGGCCATAGTGTATCCTTCCGCACCTAAACCATATCCTACTGATAGATTATTTAACAATGTAACTGGGATATATCTGCCTGAGATTGACCATAGATTTTGTTAGATTATTAGCGACAGCGCGGCTGCTGGAATGTAAGAATACATGTATACGGTTTGGGCTCAAGGTTTAACTTTTACAGCAACCAAACACACACTAGGTGTACGGAGATTACGATGTTTAAATAGATTCACGTATTTACAGCTATGCTATGCTACCAGACAGGGATATGTTAGGTTAAACTGATCCCAACAGTCCTGTCTTGTATCAATCAGATAATAATCACTTATATTATTTTGATCGATGGATTACAATAGGTGTATAAAGATAGAGCTTTTGCGTAATTAAATGTGAACTTATACTGTTCCGATGTTAGTTTCTTATGCAAACTTATTGTGGCTTAATAATTTGAAAAAAGTGTCGCCAAAAGAAAGAGCAGTGCGTCCCCCGTTGGACTGAGATCATATGCAACCCAGTCATCACAGCTTAGAAACAGACAACTTTTGTTTCAGATTATTCAAAGCAGTTTAAATCAGCCTGAAGTGACTGAATTTTATGTAACTGTATACACATAGTTTTAATCATTCTCACACTCCTGCCAATCCCGGAAGCGTGAACAAAGGCATGACTGGTAACGGTATACATAGCTGTGGGGCCATCAGAACATCAAATATAGATGGGTGACGTCAGCCCAAAGTAGACTTGAACCGCATTGATGTAATATGGATGTTAAATGTACACATTATCGACAGGATCGGGAAATACATACTAGTATTCCATTCAAAAGCGATTCTAGGTGAAAAATCGATATATTTCTGAAAAACGATATCTAGGATAGATATCAGTTGTACAAAAAGTAGAACAATGGACAGCCCGGGACTTCTCACGTGGACAATGGCTTCTGACGCACAGAAACAGCCGGCTAACTAAAACCTTAATTGATACGGCGTTGATTGTATAAAGAGTATTTCGGCAGGATCAGTATTGCGACTTCAGTGTTGTGTGAACAAATAACAATGCGAGATCAGTTTTGCATCACATTTCAAGAACTGAATCATATCCCGGAATTGTTAATGTAATACTATCGATAAACAATTCACGCCCTATTCCTTCAGCACATCTCTGATCGCAAACATTGTTTTCAAATTGTTATGCTCATTTCTTCTTAATGTCAGTAAAGCGACAATCAAGTCCATTGTAATAGGCAATTGATCCACGTATTGTTATGGATCCCATGTGTACAGACCAGTTCTTATTATTCATAGGAGCGAATTATCTTCTGATCTTTCTAGACCCTCATCAATTTAGCCAATAGGCCAGAGTGGGATTGCTCTTTTGAACAACGACTACATAATGGAAAAAGAATTTGGTGAGCAGCTTCCACATTGGAAACGAACATATTCGAGTGTTTTCTCCAGCTTAAACAATGTTTTGGTTTCTATCCATAATGTTACAGAATTACCTGTAGTTGTAGACCAGGGCATACAATGTATAGTCTATCCATAATGTTACAGAATTACCTGTAGTTGTAGACCAGGGCATACAATGTATAGTCTATCCATAATGTTACAGAATTACCTTGTAGTTGTAGACCAGGGCATACAATGTATAGTCTATCCATAATGTTACAGAATTACCTGTAGATGTAGACCAGGGCATACAATGTATAGTCTATCCATAATGTTACAGAATTACCTGTAGTTGTAGACCAGGGCATACAATGTATAGTCTATCCATATCCATAATGTAGACAGGGGCATACAATGTATAGTCTATCCATAATGTTACAGAATTACCTGTAGATCAGACCAGGGCATACAATGTATAGTCTATCCATAATGTTACAGAATTACCTGTAGATGTAGACCAGGGCATACAATGTATAGTCTATCCATAATGTTACAGAATTACCTGTAGATGTAGACCAGGGCATACAATGTATAGTCTATCCATAATGTTACAGAATTACCTGTAGATGTAGACCAGGGCATACAATGTATAGTCTATCCATAATGTTACAGAATTACCTGTAGATGTCTATACAATGTATAGTCTATCCATAATGTTAGAATTACCTGTAGTTGTAGACCAGGGCATACAATGTATAGTCTATCCATAATGTTACAGAATTACCTGTAGTTGTAGACCAGGGCATACAATGTATAGTCTATCCATAATGTTACAGAATTACCTGTAGTTGTAGACCAGGGCATACAATGTATAGTCTATCCATAATGTTACAGAATTACCTGTAGTTGTAGACCAGGGCATACAATGTATACCATAATGTCTACAGAATTACCTGTAGTTGTAGACCAGGGCATACAATGTATAGTCTATCCATAATGTTACAGAATTACCTGTAGTTGTAGACCAGGGCATACAATGTATAGTCTATCCATAATGTTACAGAATTACCTGTAGTTGTAGACCAGGGCATACAATGTATAGTCTATCCATAATGTTACAGAATTACCTGTAGTTGTAGACCAGGGCATACAATGTATAGTCTATCCATAATGTTACAGAATTACCTGTAGATGTAGACCAGGGCATACAATGTATAGTCTATCCATAATGTTACAGAATTACCTGTAGCATACAATTGTAGACCAGGGCATAGACAGGGCATACAAGTCTATCCATAATGTTACAGAATTACCTGTAGTTGTAGACCAGGGCATACAATGTATAGTCTATATGGAGTCAGCCTGCTGTGTCCCAGTGGGGTACTACAGTTACCGGAGATAGCAAGGATGGAGTCAGCCTGCTGTGTCCCAGTGGGGTACTACAGTTACCGGAGATAGCAAGGATGGAGTCAGTCTGCTGTGTCCCAGTGGGGTACTACAGTTACCGGAGATAGAAAGGATGGAGTCAGTCTGCTGTGTCCCAGTGGGGTACTACAGTTAGAGGAGATAGCAAGGATGGAGTCAGTCTGCTGTGTCCCAGTGGGGTACTACAGTTACCGGAGATAGCAAGGATGGAGTCAGTCTGCTGTGTTCCAGTGGGGTACTACAGTTACCGGAGATAGCAAGGATGGAGTCAGTCTGCTGTGTTCTAGTGGGGTACTACAGTTAGTGGAGATAGCAAGGATGGAGTCAGCCTGCTGTGTTCCAGTGGGGTACTACAGTTACCGGAGATAGCAAGGATGGAGTCAGTCTGCTGTGTCCCAGTGGGGTACTACAGTTAGTGGAGATAGCAAGGATGGAGTCAGTCTGCTGTGTCCCAGTGGGGTACTACAGTTAGTGGAGATAGCAAGGATGGAGTCAGTCTGCTGTGTTCCAGTGGGGTACTACAGTTAGTGGAGATAGCAAGGATGGAGTCAGTCTGCTGTGTCCCAGTGGGGTACTACAGTCCTGCTGTGTTCCAGCGGGGCGGAGATAGCATGGGATGCAAGTCAGTCTGCTGTGTCCCAGTGGGGTACTACAGTTACCGGAGATAGCAAGGATGGAGTCAGTCTGCTGTGTCCCAGTGGGGTACTACAGTTAGTGGAGATAGCAAGGATGGAGTCAGTCTGCTGTGTCCCAGTGGGGTACTACAGTTAGTGGAGATAGCAAGGATGGAGTCAGTCTGCTGTGTCCCAGTGGGGTACTACAGTTAGTGGAG